ATTTAATTTTTTCTTGAATATTGCTAAAATCATGAATGTAAGGTTTACATATTCGATTTTCCTCCTGTCACTCCTGATCAGCAATGTGCTTTGAAACCATTACAAGACATGCAAAGACATTGGTGGAATGCCTCCTATTCCCTGAGCCATTGTGAATTCATCACATGAATCAATCTCTGTCAACCCAGCGAATCCTAATGAAGCAGAAATGTGTCACATTTGCGCCACAATGAGGATAACTGGCAAACTTTGCCCGGAAAATGAAACTATTATCTTCCGCAAGACGAGCAGGGACTCAATATAAATAAATAAAAGTTGCACTTATCTAGTGGACAGTGTGATTACCGAGTTGACATCCAAATTGACTTGTCTTATCATCTTGTAGTGGTTTTCAGCTGAGTGGAGACTGTAGATGAAAGCAAAATAATCTTTAAATAGTAGTTCAAGATGGCTGCTTGATAAATTGCTCCACAACAGTTTTGATCAATGAAGCATGCATTCAATATATTGCCTATTTAGATATGTGAGATAAACTTAACTGGTCTTGTAAATGATTCATAAGTTATATTTCCTTCACTATCTGGCAAAGATTTGAAGAATGTTTGAGGGGGAAAAGGCACATTTTGAATACATATTATATTGTCTTTTATACGTCAGAAAATCCATAACCTCCTTTTACTGTTTATTTATAAAGTGCTTGACTTTATGACGTCATTTAGATTTACAATGTTCTTACATTCTACTTTGTTTTGTTGTATTTCAAAGCATTTGCTCCTATCTTATTGTTTACTACCAGATTGTCAGGTGACAGTGAAGCGTCCATCCTAGTCTACTAAATATTTGTTTTTTTAGATATAGGTGTTAGCCCAGCGTACAACTGCATTGAGCGCAGCAGCACATTCGTGCAAGCATGTGACGAACGCACGTCTACTGCCCCTGAATTGAATTTGCTGTGCGCTTGTAGGACAACGTTGTCACGATTGTGGAAAACGTCAAAGCTATTTTCCTCTTTACCAGTCAATGCATTGCTTGCTTAATAGTAATTGGATTCTTATCCTCCTGTTTGCTCATCAGTTCCTGCTCCTCCTCATTCCAGCCCTAAACTCCATTTAAAGTTTAATAACATTTTAGAATAGTTCCCATTCAAGTAAACAGAATCTGATTACCGAGCTGGATTGAAAATATATGTCTGACGTCAGTTCAAATGATTTATTTATTCAAAGGGGCCCCTGGTGAAGATGATTCCCGGCAAACAAATGGCAGCCTTCCTTTTCAACAGCAAAGTGTTTTTTTTTTTTTGTCTGCCTTGAATTCTTCATGTTCTCTTAGCATATCAGTGTGGGCTTAATAGCAGGAAACACAAGGAATGAAAACTATACTTTATTCAGACTTTTTTTTTCTGATGTGGAGTGCTTTGCTTTGTTACTTTAGATTTTTGTAAAACCAGAAGGTACATTTCGTAGCGGCAAAACAGTCGGACTCTAAAACTATTCTGTGATCGTTTTGAATTTCTCTCTCTATGCCCCTCATTGTGTTCGAGGACCTGCCTTGTACATGTTCTTGCCAGCTGCTTACCAAATGAGGTTATAGTGTTTCCCTACCAACTGTAAATTTCAATAATTTGTTGGCGGAGTCCTCTCGCCATCCGTTTATCATACTATCAATGGCGACTCAACTTCCCTCTGCTGCTCCTTCTGAAACCCTGACCCCCGGCCCTATTACAGTCCTGTAATGAAGTGCAATGGAGTGGTAATTGGTCTGCATTATACCGGATCAGGTAACATTAGACTTATTTTCTTATCACAATGAGCCCTGCTGGTGACTCTCAATGAGAAACCAAACACACTCTCTTTCTTTTGCAGGCTATCATTCAAATAACATTTGAACTAGAGACTGACTCCCCATTTCAGTTTTCCATTTCAAGATTGCAGTCTGTGTCTTCAGATTGGACTTTTGTTTCTAGTTTCCTCCACTTTAAAAGTCTCCCAAACCACTGGCAGTGGTGATAATCTGGAGCTTTCTCAAGATGGGGAAGTACAGTAAATGAGAAGGTCACCGGGTAAATTATACAGTTACAGCTACCTGTTACCTGTTAAAAAATGTTAGGAATGTAATCCAAGTACCATAACATTTAAGTAATATAACTGAATCACATTTAATTACTTTTGGATTACTCCAATACATAATATGGTGGGGAAAAAATGAAAATAAATTAAATATCAATGCAATATATATTTTAACATATTAGTATGTCTTTTCTGTCTTTGGGATGCTGGAGGAAGCCAAAACACACAAAATTCAAATTCAAAAGATGAGAACTGCGAGGCACCATGCAACAGTGAGACAGGCAGGCAGACAGACAGACAGACAGACAGACAGACAGACAGACAGATAGATAGATAGATAGATAGATAGATAGATAGATAGATAGATAGATAGATAGATAGATAAGAGCGCTGGCGTAGGGATCGTCCTCTAACTCCCACATGTGTGACCAGCAGCAGACCACATGATTTTGACCAGTGACACTTTCCGTCGTCAATGTTGCAGTATTTCAAATGAATAAGTCAGTCAGTGATTCAGTCACTGTCCATTCCCTTCGAGTCATTTTTAAACTGACCGTTTTTGGGAAGCCCAACATGTATCCAGTAGCAATGGTCATTTGTCGACTGTAAATGGCCAACAAAAACTTTCCAGAGGATGAGCAATGATGTTCCATTGAGCTCTATTATGAGCAGTTATCCACTTAACTGCAGAAACTGTTGCTTGACCTGTTAGTTTGAAAGTGGGCGAGGGCTCAAATCAAAAGTTTGTCTCCATGCATTAAAAATGTAATCCTCCAAAATAATAGATTATTCAAATTTTTTTTTAATTGTCATAAACTGACGGTTTGCTCTAAAACCAATTATGTATTACATGGGGTTAAAATGAATCTTTATTGTTCATGGAAATGAGACTAACAAGTGAAGAAATCGCTTCTAAAGAAAAAAGAAGATCAATGCAGAAGTGACAAAGTTGAAGTATTTCCTTATCGTAGCTTTAAATGATGCAGCTCTTGGAATTTGTGATCTGAGAAGCAGGATGTCAGGTCTCAGTTGTGACCTAACAAAACTAGCAGAGCCGCTCTGTGTGCAACGTTAAAAAAAAAAAAAAAAAAACAGGATATTGGCTAACAAGGTTAAAATATAGGAGCAAAATATTCTCTTATTAAATTTGGGCTGTAGGGATTTCACTTGAGCCACCTAATAGATAGTGGTTTTAAGGGAGACCAAACAAAAGGTAACGGGACGGTCATGCATATGGCGGCTAATAGTAGGGTTCGAAAAAAATAGGGGATTTGTTTTCAACAGGAAATTGTTCTTAAAGACAGGTCATGGATCACCCTGTTCTTCACAGGGAGCTTCAAAAGCCAAAGAGTGAACTTTTGCTGCAGCCATTGAAATGACTCCATGGCAGAAGGTCAAAGTAGAAACCAAACTAATTGTATAACTGGAGAGAGGCGAATCGAAGTAAATTGATGTCACGGCCGGGATTTATTGTAAGACAAGTGAATACGCTGTCTTTTGGAACTACAGTATTAGGAAACTATGATTGAGGCCATTGCAAATACACAGGTGATGCCAAAATACACGAGGCAAGCCTATAAATGTTTGCGTGGCCATCTAACATCTTGGGAGTTTGATTTGATGAGTGTATTTGGTTATGTAAATAATTTCACCAAGAAATGTGGTGGTTTGGTGGTTGGATGCTGCCAATTGCTGTTTTAGGTATTACCTCAGAATCCTGAAGGAGTGCCAAGATCTGGTTATTCAGTGCAATGGCTGTGATCATCCATGATGACTGTGTGTTCATTGGCATTCAATTTGTCCAGATACGGGTACATCCATCGGGAAAATGTTCCACTAGCAGAGCCTTAAACACTTTCCACCAGACATAAATAAAAATGTGTTTTACCTCAGAAACCACTGAGAGTTCAAACCTTCACTCATTGTTTAGATTGAGGCTTTCACTTAGCTGACTTGTTCCGGAGTAGCAAAGATATGATGAAACTTTATTTATTTAGTTGTGGGGATTTTATGACACAGAGTAAATACTATGCAGTTGACTAGAACAAGCAGGTATACTTAGCCAGTCACGGTAGGCTAAAGAATGCCTGCATTGCATTGCTTCACTGCTTCAGAAATTACATAGAATTATCTCATATATATATATATATATATATATATATACTTTGCAATCTGGTAGACTTGTGAGAGCTGAGCCAGGGATTTTTCATCAAGTTATGAAAGAGGAATGTGTTCATGGCTCATACCACCACCGCTTAAATTTTATTTATGTGATTGCACAAAGGTTTTTCAGAACCACATGCCATATCAACAAGTTACTGAAGTAGTTGAGAAATTCACACGCACGCACGCACGCACGCACGCACGCACGCACACACACATACACGCACACACACACAGACACACGCACAAGTGAAAGTGAAACAGCTTTTACTGGCCTGCCTGTCATTGAGATGTTTACATTGACATCAGCAGAATCTGCAGTTGTTTTTTGTACAACCTTATCATGAAACCCATTGTATTTAGTATTTACCTAGTTAAGAAATTAAAAAAAGACTTATGAAGAAACACAAATACACTTGGATTCTTCCTGATGCTATTATGACACTGATATCGCAGATGCATATAAATAGTACCTATTGTGTGTTCCTCAAATCCAAAATTACAATACTGCATCTGTTTCGCTCAGTGATGTCTGTGTGTGTGTGTGTGTGTGTGTGTGTGTGTGTGTGTGTGTGTGTGTGTGTGTGTGTGTGTGTGTGTGTGTGCGTGTCGCGTTCCTGGCTCCCTCTTTCCTTGCCCTTATTTTGAATGATCAGGCCTCCAGGGGTGAGAAAGTTTCGCATAATCACTGACATGTTGCACATTTTAGTCATGACTGTGGTGTGTTCACACTTCTTCAACTGTTTCAGGAAGTGGGCGTGAGTCACTAAAATCAGGAAACTGAATGTTGCTTTTGATACAAGGGGCGACGGGTGAAAGCTAACTCATTCCTGTTTGCAGAACTACGCAAATTCACTTGTTTAGGAAGGACATAAAAAGACATATTTTTCAAACTATGTTCCCTGTGGACTGATTTTACACACTTTCAAGACACCATAACCATGGAAGAACAGCTGGCCTGTGGGGGCTCAGGTAAATTAGTACTCTCTTTCAACAATCCTTGCTTCACTGGATGTGAATTTTTTGTCATTGTTCTCAAATGTGATTTATTTTAAGAAAAGAATACATTGTTTTCATTGCCAACCCTTCTGTACAAGCACAATAAATGCGGGCGAAAGACTTTCAGCCCTCCTTTGAGGTTAAATCCATGTCAGTTTCTTCCCTGCCTCACAAGTTTGTCTGTTGATCGCGCATGGCAGCAGACCATTAACAAATACATGTCAACTCACTCAGCACTGCCATGAGTGGGAACTGTGATGGAGGTGATTACTCCTGTTGGGTTTCTTTCCCAGTTTGCATGCACAGAGGTGAACTTGACCTGATTAAACACTTTAATGAGTCAAACTAAATTACTCTGACTGCTGTTGACACAGTGCTGTGTTTGCACTATTCCTTTTGGACTCTCTGCACGGAAATAGCCAACAGTTTGGACATTCATGCTCAAACCACACTCACCTTGACATTCCACAGCCGGACAGCCGGTATGTTGTCGAGCATTACCATTATAAACACTAGCAACAGCTTCATGGACACGAACATATAATATGGGCAGTGTCACATCATTAGCATAATATTTGTGATGATTACAAGGATTGTAATTCATGTTCCATGGTTTGGCTAGATGATAGAGGTTTAGCGCAAATAAACATTTCCAGTTTTATGGAGTGACATTCAGCCAAAGTTGGGGATTCCACTCTCTGCCTTATTGTGTGGCGTATGCATGTTTTACCCTTGCTTGCTTAGATTTCTCCCCTCACCCCCATCCCACATTGCAAAGCATGTGTGTAAGTTTAATTGAAGACTCTATATTGTTCAAAGACACAATTGTGTGAATGCAAGTTGAACACCTTCAGTGACCAAACATGAAAATTTGGACCGGTTCTCTTTTGCAGAGGAAGTCACTTTGCTTCTGGAGCACAGTTGAGGGGCCCTTGAACAAGGCCCCTTTTGACTCTTCTTCTTCTTCTTCTTCTTCGTCTTCTTCTTCTTCTTCTCAACATCATTCCTTGGAATGTAGTATTTACACAGTTAGACTGAACATTTTTGTTTTGGTTTGGGTTTTTTTAACTCAAGGTTTATTACTCTGATTTACTCAACAGAATGGTAGGCCAATTGAGCCAGAACATTTGGGTAAATTGCCTTACATTTCTGTACTTCTGGACATAAACAAACACATGTATGTATGCATTGTGTGTGTGTGTGTGTGTGTGTGTGTGTGTGTGTGTGTGTGTGTATTACTCTGATTTACTAAACAGAATGGTAGGCCAATTGAGCCAGAACATTTGGGAAAATTGCCTTACATTTCTGTACTTCTGGACATAAAAAACACATGTATGTATGTTTGTATGTATGCATAGTGTGTGTGTGCGTGTGTGTGTGTGTGTGTGTGTGTGTGTGTGCGCGTGTGTGTGTGTGTGTGTGTGTGTGTGTGTGCGCGTGTGTGTGTGTGTGTGTGTGTGTGTGTGTGCGCGTGTGTGTGTGTGTGTGTGTGTGTGTGTGTGAATTTGAAATTTACAAAATAAAATGTATTCTAAGTATTCTATTTATAAGGTGAACTGTGAATATAATAAAACATGTTGAACTTTTTTGCATTCTACAGTGAATTCTGCATCCCTCTCAACATATGAGCTACTGATTCTGCATACTGCTGAGGCACAGGAATGGGCAACATATTTGCAGCAGATCTTGCAGGAGTCCTCGGAGAAGTTCCACAAGAGCTCAATTTTGCTCTATACCATCGGCCCTGCTGATCAGCTCCATGGGTGCAACTTTGAAAGTTTCCACACCTTCAAATGCGTTGTGCTGCTCCTCACTGGAGGATTCGTAGACTTCATGTCTGAGCCTGAGCCACATGGAGCCCTTCAGAGGCTGCTCCACCCATCACACAGAGTGGTGGCGCTGTTGTGTGGCGTGTCTGAAGAAGACATATTAACGGTCGATGGCTTTGAAGACTGGCCCAGTTGGAGAAAACTGCATGCTGAGGATGAACCCGCTATCTATGTCTCGGCCATTCTGGAGACCATCACTAGCAGTAGGCTGGAGTCTTCATATTTTTGTTATCTTTATTTGTCTTTGTACAGTGTAATTGTGCTAACCGTCATTGTTGCCGCTACTGAGCATTTAGAGTTGCTCTCAATTTGGCTGTAATTAGTTTTTAGCTGCTACTTAAAAAAATAACAGGAAAGGATAATGAATAGAGATGTTACAATACAATGCAACAAACACACACTCAGAAGCAATAAAGTAAAAACACCCACTTAAAAATGAAACATTTCTAAAAATAAACAGTTTCTCATCTTGTGGTTGTGACTGTGGGCGCACTGTATCATACTGAGAACTGTTTCACATAATTTGTCACTTGCATGTACAGTAGAAGGAAGGCTAAATATTTGAAACATCTCTTGGTAATAAAAACACATTTGATTAAATGTACCTCTTAGATACCATTGAATCATTTGGTGTCTTTTGTTAAGTTGATTGTACATTAATCAAAAACATATACTATACCCACAGTTTTTATGTCATTATTAATTTGAGTCAATTGTTTTCCTGTTGTTGTTTCCTGATTGTTTTCTGAAAGGCAGGCTACAGGCAGAGCGTGTGATCAAATGCGCGGCCTCAGAACAGCTGCACGTCGCCCGAGCCTCCTCAAGGGAGGATCATCTCACCGCTGAAATACAGGAAGTGATGTCAGGAGAGTGTCGAAAAAGAAACTTGGGGGATGATGAACATTCAACCAAGGCTCTTTCTGTAACCAAGGAAATTAGTCCACACTCACGCATCAACTGCCTCACTATTCAACCAGCCCGACTTCTGTGTGGGGTAAGTGTGTGGTCATTACATCATGACACCAAGGGAGATGTTAAGAGACGAGTTGCCCCAGACATGCACCGTAGATGCTCCATTGTTTCATTGATCTGATTCTGTTTGTTGTTCAGGTGGAGGAGAGCATTTTTATCATCTTTACTGATCGAGTAGATCACCTGTCATCACCAGAAGTGGAGTTTTCCTCTGGATATACCCCGTCAAAAACAGTTTCATGCACTGTTGTAAATGAGTACACAATACGTCTCACTGCACCCGGTAAGTCATTTCAGAATTCAAGTCCTAGTTGGTTTCTTCACTGATAAAGATTCCAAACTTCAATCTTGTGTTTTAGCGTAACATTGTGGGAAGCCTGTTCTCATGACAATCATTGGAATACAAAAAGTAGAAATCAGGAATCAAATGCGTTAAGAATCACGTTTTGAAAATAACTTTTCTCCCAAAAAAATGATGATTGCCATTTTACTTCCTAGAAATGCCTGCAGGGGAGGTATCACTCACCCTGTGCTCTAACCAATCACGTATAAGCTTGAAGTGCGTCACATATTATACCAACATGGGAGAAGTCAGTCGCTGTCTTGAAAATGCTGCCGATCCCATAAATTTCCTCTGCCAGGTGAGACGTATTATTTATTGAGTCATCATGCTAATCTCCCGGGTTTTGATATTCATCCTGTTTTGTTCTTCTCCCAGGCTTTCAATTTGATGTCCAATTCAATTGAGTTTTTGGACGAAATTCTAACCGACTCAATCAAATCCAAGATGCCAGCATGTCTTCAGCTGTTTGGGATCAGACAGATAGAGGAGCACAATATGGCGGCATGTAAGTGCAACACATCTCGCCTTGCTAATCTGTTCGAGGGAATCCTCATTGAGGCAGATCTGCGGAACTTAACAATTGTCACAATCATGGAATCAAATTAATCAAATTAGAAATTAGAGTTGTGCTGACCAAAGCCATGAACTTTGCAAAAGTCTTGGACCACCATTAGATTTGTTCTTTGAGCCCAGCTGTCATGATGACATCCAAGTTATCATGGAGTGCCTCTCAGATGTTTGTTTTATTGATACTTTGCCTACAGTTGTATACAACGTCATGCAACTCCAAAAGGATATTTATTTGCAAAGTTAACAAACATACAGTGTAGTCCAACCAACAAAACAAAGAACAGCTGAACAATAAAAAGCATCATTTTTCTTCCTTATAGTGACCTATCTAATTAGAGTAAGCATATGACGCAAACAAATGTAATTTGCTTTGGGAATTGAATTGTTTGAATGAAGCCATTGTATGCGTGGGCGCATGAACTAGAGTGCAATTTCGTGTCATAATGGATACACGGGATGTAGCTGCATTAGCAAATAAAAAATGGAATGAAAATAATTGTCTTTGTGAGATCAAAGCTCTTGTTTGGGATTTAGATTACAAAATTGAATGCAGAGTGCCGACATAAATAAATCTGTCACTTAACCTTTTACTGGTGAATCCTAGTGAATAGTGAAAGTTTGCCAGAAGGCTAACCAACACTGTGTCCTGTAGATAAGCGCAATGAGGAACTTCCCACGTTGCTCCACTTTGCTGCAAAGTATGGCCTGAAGAAGCTGATGAGCTTCCTCCTTCAGATTCCCGGGGCGCTGCAAGCTTACAGCGTGATGAACAAGAATGGAGATTATCCAAACACGCTGGCGGAAAAGAGCGGCTTCCCAGATCTCCGACAGTTTATTGATGAATTTGTTGTAAGTCCAGAAATTACATATTCTATTTTTTTCCAATCCACACACACACACACACACACACACACACACACACACACACACACACACACACACACACACACACACACACACACACACACACACACTTTTCACACTCAATTGGCATGTCAGAGTTTAAATTAGACTCGTTCTTGTTTTGTAACAAATGGAGCAGACTGCAGATATGCTCAAATCTCAAGACGAAGATCCAGAGGAGTGTACAGAGGACTACGAAGAGATGACGCCTACCCAGCACTCAGGTTGTCCCGACGACATGTATGTGCCAATGCTGGGCGGAAACCCTGAGTGCGAAGATGATCTATGTAATTATAATCTTTATTTGATACATTTTTTTGACATTATTCCAAATGACAATGTTGAGCAAGGATTGCAAAGATGTGATTTGATGATTTCGCCTGTAGATGAAAAGATGAATGCTATTGTGGAAAACACAGAGGATGCTATGCTGAGGACGTTTTTTCAAGGTGAACAACCTTTAAAAAATGATATTCTTGAATAGCAATGATGTAAAATACATGTTTTTTTTTGTTGTTGTTTTTTTTTAACTTTCAGCAAAACCTCAGAACAGTGTAGTCCAAGGTGAAAAAGAGCAACCTCAAATGGAAAATGCAGAGTCCAATGACCCTGATGAAAGTGATAATGAGCTGGACCCCTACAGCCTCGCTAGTGAAGACATATATGATACTTTGGATGAAAATAATTGCCACAATGCAGCAGTGCTGTCTCGACCACCAGCCCCCATCCCTCGACCTGAAATTGAGCCTGAACCTGAAAAGCCTGTCACCTATATTTCAAGAGGTACTTCACATCCACTCCATTGCACCTAGTATAATTTTGCTGCTGGTTGACACCACTAACTCTGCACTTTTAACAGTATTTTCAGATAAAGCTACATCCCAAAGTCACACCGTGGCAACGTGTCCGCAAGGTAAACAAAATGAGTACAGGGGTATTTGTGAGGTTGCACACCCTCTTCTGGTCAATTTTGTTTGATTTTAAAAGCAATTGTTCTCCTCCATCCATTCACCCATCCGTCCAGTTACTCCACTTATTGCAAGACACATCAGGTTGAGACGACAACTATTCACATGTACAAATCACACCTGGACAATTTAGAGTTTCAATGAATGTTACATGCATATCTTGGAATGTGGAGGTAGCTGGAGAACCCAGAAAAAAAGAAGGCTGAAGCCGAGATTCGAACCTTGAACCTCAAAACTGCAAGAAAGACATGCTGGGCATAGGCAACAGTAGTGCCTAGGAAATAATATAAATATAATTAATCTGTTACAGGTTACAGTTTAACCCACCATCTTAACTGTTGTAACAGTCATACAAGATTGAGCATATATATACAAACCGAAAGCTGTAAAAATAGATAAGTACAGCACACATAAGGGTAAAAGCATTTGTTGATATGTAGACTTTTTCCTTTTCTTTTCTGTATTGAAAAATGATCAATTCATATATTATATAACAAGGGGTAGGACTAGTTAAGTTTTTTACTTCTTCCTACTCCTTTGAACATATAATTGTGATGACTATTTTCTTTTCCTTTTTACAATTTTACTTATCTTCAGTTGCCAGTTTTTTGCTGTATTGTATATTTTATATGTTCAATAAACAAACAAACAAATAAGATTAAAAATACATATATATTAAATATTTTTTTAAAAAGCAACAAGTCAACCTTACAGCGGGTATAAAAAGTTTCACACCTCCCTCCCAATGCCAGGTTTTTGTGATGTAAGAAAATGAGATGAGTCGGAATCATTTCAAAATTCACTCCAATACTACTATGACGCATAACCGTACATGAAAAATAAACAGCTGTGATGATGTGGTTTCACAAACGTGAACACCCTCTGAACTGTTCACTTAATCAGTCACACTTCCTGTTAAATTGGAATAAACACAAACCTGCCAGCATGCATTAAAAGTGACCCTGATCAACCCCAACTGAAGTTCAGAGATATTGAACACTGTACAACATTTGCAGCATAATTAACAAGGGCCTCTCCCCACCTGCAGGTCAGTCTGCGATGGAGCCCCCCATACCTGTATACGACTTTTTTGCTGGGATGAAGACGCCTGGTCAGAGGCAGCTCATAACCCTCCAGGAGAGGGTCAAAGTGGGAGAAATGACTGTGGATGAAGCTGTCCATGAATTCAAAGCTTGGCAGCTGGACCATGAGAGCAGAGCAAGCTCAGTGCGCTATCAGCAGGTTAAACCGTTGGTTACCACGTGTGAAATGTACATTCATGAGCAATGACTGCATCTCCTGAATGTCTGTTTATTTCCCTCAGGATAATCTGAGAAGATTGAGAGAGAGCATCAACAGGCGTCACAATGAGAGAGAAAAGACAGGCAAGGAGCTTGGTAAGAAATGTTGCATAAGTTATGTCTTTACGGAGGTTAGAATAAAGCGAAGAAATACAATTTGATGAATTGCAAATTTAAGGAAACAATATTTTCAAGATTTTTAAATAAATATACTGTATGATGCTGTCTGTTTCCTATCAGACTATCAGATAAGTGCCCCACTGCAGAGAAACTCCTTTTGGGGAGCCACTGTGACAATGGAGTGTGCTGTATATGACGGAACACCCAGAATGGTGCCTCCATCCACCTCAGCTGCTCATCTTATCCAAAGAGGAAGCTGGAAGACAGGGAGCACGTCCAGTACATCGAGTGGGTCTTACTGTTTTTAAGATATGGCGCAGCAGTTCCTCATGTTTCCTTGGACACGCAATAAGGCACAGGTGGCAAACTCCCGTCCTTGAGGGCTACTGTATTATCCAGCGAGTTTTCCATCTCTCCATGCTGCAACACATCTGATTCAAATGATCAGCTTGTTGTGGGACCGGAGTTTCACATCTCATGCGTTTTGAATATTTTGCCCATTTCTTATCATGCTACATTCTCCAGGCACAAATAAAACATCTTCTTGTAAAAACATACTCAGGTTAATTGAAAAATACGAATGGCTGTTTTTACTGTTTATTTTGGTCCTGTCAATAATTCACAGCGTGCTCGAACTCTCGGCCAAAGTCAGCTGGGATAGGCTGTAGCTCACCTCTCACCCTCATGAGTACAAACAGTATAGAAAATGAATTAATGGATACTGTAATACTGCACTGGCAGTGTCAGTCAAAAATAAGTAATGTATTTTTAAGTACTTTTTCTTTTTTTACTGAGTTCAATTATTTTATTGGCTTTTCTGACATTGTGTATGTTTATCTAATGACATTAACGGTGAGTGTGTGTTTTCCTTTACATGAGGTACTGAGAGCAACAGACTCAGCACTCACAGCAATTTAAGCTACAGCAGTGGGACAGAGCCAGATTTAGAGGTAAGCCTGAAAAGGGCTGCAAAGCATTCCCGTCGCCTTTTGTTCAATGTGTTTGTCCACGATAGAATTACAACACAGTATTACATATTTTGTTTTGTCCAAGGACTCTTTAGAAAATCTCCCCCTTCCGCCAAGACCTCCACGGCCTTCTGAAGCTGCTCCACTAATTCCACCCAGAATTCCTAGACGCAATTCACAAAGGTTAGTCTGTCCATGAACACATGCACAGTAAAAAGAATGTAACAGTAAACAGAGCAATATGAAATTGTCCAAAAATACAGTATACTTGGGAGACATAAGGAGAATGTACTGAATACCATGTGCAAGTGTTAGGAGACATGACCAAAAGTAAAAATGGAACATGATATGTAGCAGGACCCCTTCTGTGGAGCTAAAAGGGCTTCCATTCATCTGAGAAGATTTCTTTCCTGTTTGATGGGGTTGAGGTCAGGGTTTGTCTGGTTCATCGACACTAACCTCATCCAACCATGCCTGAATGAATGATGCTGGAGATTGTGTTGTATGTGGTGTGCTGTGTTGGTCATTTAGAGCCCCGTTTTTCAACCTTGATTGATTTATTGAGGGATGCATTTTACCTAAAAAAAAATGCATGTATGTTTTTGAAATGTGAAAGAAGCTGGAGTACCCAGACACAAGTAGGCGATTGGAGAATATGCATGGAGCCCAACTTCAAAATTGTGAAGCAGATGTACTAACAACTCACAGTGCCATCACATAGGAGCTTTTTTAATAAAATGTTTTCATTCTTGACTGCAACTGCAAGCCAACACACGTGCCACCTTGTCTTACAGCACGTCAGATAAGATGTTGCACGAGCGCTATGTGTCCTGCCCGACCCGAGCGCTTCCTCAAAGACCTCCTCAAAGACAGACCAATTCTGCTCCTCCCATTCCACGTCGACTGCGGTGATGGACAGAGCTTGACTTCTTGTATTCAATCTGGGTTCAGTTTGTGTGCTTTTTTAATGCAACAGAGATGAAGAGGTTGGGCAGTCATCACTTCAGTTAAAAAAAAGATACAACTCTCCACATAGAGACATTTTTCCAGCTTTTAATTAATTGTGAATGCTGTATCGTACAGTATCATTTTGAAAAAAAGATGATTGTACTGTGGAATTAAGAACTTGTTAGGCGTGCCAAAGAAGCACGAGGTTTATTTTTGCGCTTTGTGTGTGATCTTATTTATATTAGAGATGGACAGACAGACCGACAGAATTTTGGTCAGTAGCAAGGAATTTATAAGCAACTCTTCATACTTACAGCCACATATGGGCAATTTACATGAGTCTTCAATTAACCTCGTAACATGCATGTGTTGGGATATTGGAGGAAGTACCTGGAAAAAAACATGCAATCATCACACAGGAAGGCCAGAGCCTAGATTTGAGCCCCAAACCTATGATCTGTGAAACACAATGGAACCATTCCGATGCCGTGCCGTCTCTTCTTAATCCCGTGAGAGAAAGACCGACAGCATTTTGGTCAGTAGCAAGGAATTTATAAGCAACCCTTCATACTTACAGCCACATATGGGCAATTTACATGAGTCTTCAATTAACCTCGTAACATGCATGTGTTGGGATATTGGAAGAAGTACCGTACCTGGAAAAAACATGCAATCATCACACAGGGACGCGAGAGCCTAAATTTGAGCCCCAAACCTATGATCTGTGAAACACATTGGAACCATTCAGATGCCGTGCCGTCTCTTCTTAATCCCGTGAGAGAAATTACGTTGTCACACCCTAAATATATGAACATGTATGACATTTGTACTGCACCCATGCAGTAAATGAAATGCCTATTGATATGGAGAATACAATATTCTATTGCACATTAACTCCGCTTTGTGTTTCATTCAATTAAATAAATACAGCATGTCAACCCAAGCAGCGCATTGTTGGTTCACTGATATAAATATGATAATAACACTGTACTGGTCAAGTATACCTGACAATATTATGATACTATGATGAATACTTGACTGTATGGCGGCATGGTGGTCGACTGGTTAGCACGTGCGTACGTGTGTAGACGTGCGAGTTCAATTCTGGCTCTAGCCTTCTTGTGTGGGCTTTGCAAGTTTTCCCCGTGCCTGCGTGGGTTTTCTCCGGGTACTCCGGTTTCATCCCACATTCCAAAAACATGCATGGGAGGTTAATGGAACATTCAGGGTGTACCCCGCCCATTGCCCGAAGACACCTTGGATAGGCTCCAGCACACCGACAGCCCTCGTTAGGATAAGAAGATTAGACAATGGATGGATGAATGGACACTTCACTATATGTGTCTGAGGGTCAAATTTATGCAAAATGCAGAATGCCTTTTCACTCTTAAAATAGAAAGAAGTAAAGCAAAAGGTCACTGTATATACTAAATCCAAACAAACAACAGTTTGCAATCCGTACATTATGTTCTCTTTTACTCGCACGAAAATCGACTTACTACTTCCACATAATGTTAGACGACCAAAAAAAAATGTTAGACGACTTCCGGACAACCGATTGGAACTTTCAGATTAAAACAGAATCTGTGCTCAATGCTTTTGTTGTGAAGGGCTTGTAGTTCTGCTGCAGCTTGACGCAGCCGAGGCTTTGTTGCGTGCAGTGTGTGTGTAAGGGCGCGCGCGAGCGCGCGTGTGTGCTCGTGTGCGTGCAGTGTGTGTGTGTGTGTGTGTGTGTGTGTGTGTGTGTGTGTGTGTGTGTGTGTGTGACGCGCAAAAAGGACGCTGGTGGCAAAGCAGAAGCCATCCCAGTATAGTGCAGACTCCACGAGCCATCACTACACTGGATTATTACCAGCAAATACAGGTAAACACGTGTTTTCATTGGTAGCATCACCGATGTTTTTTTAAATGGTTATTTTTTAAATATTGTTTGAATTACCTTGCCAACTCTTTCAATAGCTGACTTTATTGGACTGTCGCTAACACTGCCGCAGCGTTCGCCATTTATTGTTAAATGTCAATTCAGCTTATTTGATCCAACCAAAGCGTTTCTGTCACTCACTTTTGTTGTTTTCGGGACAGTCACTGCAGCAAAGGCAATTGCGCACAGTAGAACCAAGAGCCTTTAAGTGCCGCATGCCCAGCAGAGCCAATCCACGACTTTATTGCCCACCAACGGCATTAATCACTTGTTAGATTAGACTGCTGCTTGTCTTGTCTTTGGTTCCAGGCTTTAATGGTGATGACATTTTGAGCAAAGGAGAGAATGGGAACATGCTTTGACTCGGCAGTCGAGTCAGGAACATCACTCCCATTAGTCCACACTGTTGAACATTGACAGACCATGTTGATTTAATAGAACTACTGTCCTGTAATGTTCTCGAATTAATATATCAGCAACGGCAGCATAGTGCAACAGTGTTTAGCAAGCCGGTCCACAGTTCTGAGTGACATTTCTGGCCGTTCCAAAGACATAATACATGTTTTGGTCAACTGAAAACTCAATATTTTTCATAGGTGTGAATGTGAGCATCAATGCTTGATTGTCTAAATGTGTCCTGTAATTGGCTGGTAACCACTGCAAAGTGTTGCTATCAAGCCTCATGGCCAAAGTCAACTGGGGTAGTTGCTCAATAGAAAATGGATGAATTTATGTATTATTACTTTTGAGATTATTACGTGAGGGTGAAAATGTCTATCGCAAGCTATTTTTCAGGCCCTTGTGTGTCTGTTTGCTCCTTACTACCATGGCTTGATTTATTGCCAAGTCCACGCCACCTCTTCTTCTGATTACTACGAGCAGTATTGATGTCATACTGTATATGTTCACCATTACCCTAACTTGATTGTTGCTTTATACATTTCTCTTCCCGTATTTAATTTTCACCGAAGAGTGTTACGTTAGTGCACAGTCGTACACCCCGTATAATTTCAGTAGTCCCTGCTCTTATTGACACAGGAAACCCAAATGTTTAACTACATGCTCTACCAGGACAAACGGCAGCATGTGACATGGCCAACTGTCACACTGCACACGTGAGTTTAAAAAGATGCCGAAACTTAGAAATCACTGAATGGCGATCGCTGTGTAGATTAGATGTGTCATTGGTTCTTTTACATTTCCTTACATCACGAGGTTTGTATTCAATGTTCACTATGAAGGGTGGCTTGCCTCCACACTTTCGAAAAACAGAATAAACTGTCACCCGCCTCATAAAAATTCAAATGTCCCTCAGTCACTGTTTCCACACTCTCATTCACATTCTTGATTAGATTTTTGCATTCAGTCCAAGTGATGTGCGTAACATGACGCTTACACAGGCTTGATAAAATATTAACCTCAAACAAATAATTAATCAAATGGGTCTGAAGACAGATGAAAGCCTGACCTTTTTTTTTTGGTGTGTGTTTGCCACATTCCCACCGTCTCTTGGTATAAAGATTGGGTTGCTGGTTTTATGTCCCATTACAGGCCCAAAAATGTTGGACTAGATGAGAAGTGCAAGTTAGCCCCCCGAGTAAACACTACAATTCCCTCTCTCTAATATGTCCTAAGGATCCAAATTGTGAATATTTATGTTTCCGGCCTATCTCTCTTTTGCACATTATTTTACTCCTTCAGGGCAACAAATAAAGGTGTGTTCTTGTTCTTATCGCCTGGTTGGACAGGATTAGTGGAGCACCTCCACTGTGTTTATTCAAAAAGAAAAAGCCTTCTATCCATTGCCTTTATCTATCCAAAAAGCATTGATATATGAAACAGTGTTATGTATGCTAATATACTGTATGTTACAACAAGTATGTCTTGCTTATAGCTGACATTGACAGTAGTCCATGTAGCAAGAGGGCGACAAGGTGTTTTGCTTCCAGTTATTGACTCAGTGGTAACACAGCAGCGAAAAGCACACAAACTACTGCTTCGCAACATGACATGAGTGTAATTGTGAGTGTTTACATAGAGAGGGTGCATGTCGGATAGCCGCTGGCTCAGCCACTGTTCATTTTGTCAAACCAAGGGCCGGAACTAGTTTTACACTGTCATATGCAATTGAAGGCAAATGTGTCAGCTACTGTAGAAGTGCTTTTATGGTTTTTTTTTTGTTTTTGTTTTTTTGGGCTTTTTTTACTGTTCAGACATGCTCAAAGGCTTTGTGCAAATTATTTTGTGTAGAAGATTTTTAAACATCCTGCATCTTGATTTTTTTCTTTGAAGGATATATTGCTGTATTTAATCAGGACAAAGGGGATTAGCACAGGACCTCTTGGTATGAACCTGGCACAGTTATGAATATTAATGAAACATTTCAAGAGTCACTCAACACCACCGCCCTGACATCCCACCGTGGCTTAGTCTAAGAGGAGCAATCGCTGCAAAGCTTGAAAGTCTAAACTCACTTTTAAAGATTTATGAAAACCATGTCCTGTACTATTTAGCTGATCACATTTTGAACCGAACCGTTTTGAAGCGTAGTAGACATTTAGAGTTGTAGTTGCATTTCTTAGCTGCTCGTACATTGTTTGCGGCGATGTGAGCAATATGCTGATTGGGTCCCATGTCATCTCTGTGAGAGGCTGTAAACACATTGAGGAACAGTGCAAAGATTCATTGAAATTTCAGAAATAGATGGAATGGAAAGTTCCAAATAATGAGAGCATTGACAGGATTTTGGAATGATGTGGATGCTACATGCAAACAGCAGGCTTCCGTTTTCATTGCATGTTAATGTTACAACAGGTTACTTAGCAACCACCTCATCTCCCCCTTGTCCGCTTTCTCCTTTGGGTGAAGTGGCGAGTGAAGTGTGATGCTTTTTCTTTTCATGGTCCATCACGTATGGACGCATGAAAACAAAGCAAGCAAAATGCAATTTGTGCTTTGATGATGGAATTGAACAGCGCCAGCCTTCAGTGCCACACCCACCCGCCCATCTGCTCTGCTCTGTTACAAGTCAGCAGCTGATGGAAAACAACCGCGTCAGTGCAGCTGCTGGAAAATGTTTTAAAAAGAAAAGCATGTGGGGTGACTCATCATCACATAACCACAGTGATCAATGTGTGAGTGATACATTGCAAATTTATAACTCACTTTTTCTGGTCCCCACTTAGAGACACTCATCACCATATGCAGATTTTCTTTCTTGTAAAACATTGGAAGCTATAAGGTAAACGCAATTATGTTTTGAGACCCTGCTCATCCT